ATTACATACCTACTAGGCAACCTATTCAAAGTATTCAAGATTCACAATAGTTAGTTTGAGTTTTGTATTAGAAGAGTTACAATAATAGGGAGGTGCCAGAGCTGCCGCGCTTCGTCCATGACAATATTTACGAAAATATAAAAAACAAATTTAAACCGACGCCTCGCTGAGGTCCATGTCCTCGACACTAGCAAATAGTTACTAGTCAAAATCCAGTAAAACTTGCAAGCCCAGCTGTCGTTTTTGCTCTCTCAATTCTCTCTCTTTAGCTGGTTTCTTGCACGTTTTTGCGTACGAAAATGCCATCCAGTAAAAACCAGTAAAATTAGTACTCGATTTTACTGGATAGCGCATACGCGAACAGGGCGAACAGTAGGGATGTTAGATATCATATCGATTATTCTGAATATCGATATTTCATGGCACGATAATCGATTGTTTGAATCGATATTCCAAGGTCGATATATCGAAGACATCGATACTTTACCCGCCGACAGCCGGTTCTACGTACCGGAATGACTCGTGTTTTGCCCGACCAAGGGCTGTTGTTTCGGCGATCTAACCCCGTTTAGGTCGGCGAAATCCGTCAAACGTTGCTCTTTTCTAGGGCAACATCTACTCCGTACCCTTCTTCTCAGGGCTGCCATTGGGTCCAACCCAGGGCCAGAAACTTACACCTGCTGCGTATGCCAGAAACGACTGCATACAAACTCTACCTCGGTCAGGCGCAATGCCTGTGACGGTTGGAGTCACCTCCTCAACTGCCCCGGCCTACGTACGCACCGGCAATGGACCACGTCGTTCGTGGCCCCATGCTGTGCGAGCCGGAACGCCTCCACGGCAAACCACCACCCGCCCGTGCAGCACACAACCAACTCACCCACACCCCAACACAACATAACAATAGATACACACACAAACACAATAGCACCCACACACCGCCGCCGGCAACTCCTAGTCCCTCCAACAATTTGCTCGATTTGTCAGTCCTGAATATACCGTAACGTGACATCAGTCAACTACAACTCCTGTCTTGGCTGGTGCCACTTTAGGGCATACTCAGGACTTCGCAACACGCGTGATTGGACGAGTGACTATATCGGCCCCTGGTGTTCTGCCCAGTCGCATACCTCCCCCGCGACGCTAACC